GCCTATACCCATCCATATGTGCTCAAACACTTGTTTTTCCTTTGGTTGTGCAGTGCTCACTACATCCACATTCAGTACCAGTCTTCCTATCATCAAAAATAACAAGTCTCTACGGTCTAAAGCGTACTTTCCCCTTCCTACTTCTTCTCCCTGGTAACTGCCAATGAACATTAGTCTGTCTATATTTATCTATTCTTGTCTTCTTATAAAAGAGGGATCATACAATATTTGTCCGTATATGCTTAACTTATTTCACTTATAATTTTGCCCTGCAGGTCAATGTATGTTATAATATGTTTTGTGGGCTCATCATTGTTCTTTATGGTTGTGTAGTATTCTATTGTATGTATGTACTACAATTTGCTTGTCTATTAATCTTTTGATGTGCCCGTCAAATGCCACCTCATTTGTTTCCACTTATTTGTTATAGTGAATAAAGCAGCAAGGAACATTGGTGTGCATGTGTCTGTTTGTGTCATTATTTGTAGGTGTCTAGGGTATATACCTGTGTTTTATTGACTATGCAAAGGCATTCTATTGTGTGGATTATAACAAATTATGGATAACACTGCGAAGAATGGGAGTTCCAGAACACTTAGAGTTGGTTCTGACTCATAGCCACCCTATGTACAACAAAATGAAACACTGCCTGGTCCCATGCCATCCTCACAATCATTGTTGTGCTTGAGCCCATTGTTGTAGCCACTGTGTCAATCCATCTCTTTGAGGGTCTTCCTCTTTTTCACTGACCCTCAACTTTACCGAGCATGAGGTCCTTCTCCAGGGACTGATCCCTCCTGATAATATGTCCAAAGTATGTGAGGTGTAGTCTCACCATTCTTGCTTCTAAGGAGCATTCTGGTTGTACTTCTTCCAGGACAGATTTGTTCATTCTGTTGGTAGTCCATGGTATATTCAATATTCTTCGCCAACAACACGATTCAAAGGCATCAATTCTTCTTTGGTCTTCCTTATTCACTGTCCAGTTTTCGCATGCATATGAGGCATTGGGGGTATTAAAAAAAAAAACTCTTGCCATCGAGTTGATTCCGACTCACAGTGACCCTATAAGACAGAGTAGAACTGCCCCATAGGGTTTCCAAGTAGTGGCTGGTGGATATGAACTGGGAACCTTTTGTTTAGCAGCCATACCTCACTGTGGCTCTTAACCACTGTGTCGCCAGGGCTCTAGTTGTGAGCATAGCTACCTGCCAACACATATTTAGGAGGACACAATTCAATCCATAACACATGGTAGATTTTTTTAGGCATCACTAAAAAGATGTTACTATTGATCCTTTTCCCCCACTCATCCATCAGTTTGTCGTGCTGTGGGGCTTGTGGGTTGCTGTGATGCTGGAAGCTATGCCACCGGTATTCAAATACCAGTGGGCTCACCCATTGTGGACAGGTTTCAGTTGAGCTTCCAGATTAAAACAGACTAGGAAGAAGGACCCAGCAGTCTACTTCTGAAAGGAATTAGCCAGTGAAAACCTTACAAATAGCAGCGGAACAATTGAGATGTTTCAGCAAATGGATGAAGCACTGGAAGTGCTCACTCATCCATGCCAAGAAATTTGGAAGACAGCTACCTGGCCAACGGACTAGAAGAGATCCATGTTTATGCCTATTACCATGAAAGGTGATCCAACTGAATGCAGATGTTATCGAACAATATCATTAATATCACATGCAAGTAAAATTTTGCTGAAGATCATTCAAAAGTGGCTGCAGCAGTATATAATAGGAACTTCCAGAAATTCAGGCCAGATTCAGAAGAGGACGTGGAACCAGAGATATCATTGCTGATGTCAGATGGATCTTGGCTGAAAGCAGAGAATACCAGAAAGATGTTTACCTGTGTTTTATTGACTATGCAAAGGCATTCGACTGTGTGGATCATAACAAATTGTGGATAACATTGCAAAGAATGGGAATTCCAGAACACTTAATTGTGCTCATGAGGAACATGTACATTGATTGATAGGCAGTTGTTTGGACAGAATAAGGGGATACTGTGTGGTTTAAAGTCAGGAAAGGTGTACCTCAGGGGTGTGTCCTTTAACCATAGTTATTCAATCTGTATGCTGAGCAAATAATCTGAGAAGCGGGACTATATGAAGAAGAACAGGGCATCAAGATTGGAGGAAGTCTCATTAACAACCTGCGTTATGCAGATGATACAACCTTGCTTACTGAAAGTGAAGAGGACTTGAAGCACTTATTGATGAATATCAAAGACCACAGCTTTCAGTATGGATTATATCTCAACATAAAGAAAACAAAAATCCCCTCATCTGGACCAATAAGCAACATCATGATAAACGGAGAAAAGATTGAAGTTCTCAAGGATTCCATTTTACTTGGATCCACAATCAATACCCCTGGAAGCAGCAGTCAGGAAATCAAAAGATGCATTTCACTGGGCAAATCGGCTGCAAAAGACCTCTTTAATGTGTTGAAAAGCAAAGATGTCACCTTGAAGACTAAGGAGTGCTTGACCCAAGCCATGGTGTTTTCAATCGCCTCATATGCATGTGAAAGCTGGACAACGAATAAGGAAGACCGAAGAATTGACGCCTTTGAATTGTGGTGTTGGTGAAGAATATTGAATATACCATGGACTGCCAGAAGAACGAAGAAATCCGTCTTGGAAGGAGTACAACAAGAAAACTCCTTAGAAGCAAGGATGGCGAGACTACGTCTCACATACTTTGGACATGTTATCAGGAGGGATCAGTCCCTGGAGAAGGGCATCATGCTTGGTAAAATAGAAGATCAGAGAAAAAGAGGAAGACCCTCAAAGAGATGGATTGACACAGTGGCTGTAACAATGGGCTCAACCATAACTACAATTGTGAGGATGGTGCAGAACTGGGCAGTGTTTCATTCTGTTGTGCATAAGGTCGCTATGAGTTGGAACTGACTCTTCAGCACCTAACAACAACAACAAGTGATCCTTTTATTTATTTAAATGTATTTGTTGAAAAAATACACTAGGGTTTGTACTTTTACATAATTATTATAATGACTTCTTTACTCTCCTTATGAATAACATAAATTACTAATTTTTCTATTTTTCTGCTTCACCAATTTAAGGGAAGGTAGGTATTTTAAGAGGTTGTTAGCAAAGCCATGCAAATTCAAAGGGGATCAAACAAAGTGGGTATGATGAAATATTGAGAAATTGAAAGGATATTGATATTTAATTTTAATAATGTTATGCTAGTGGGTCCCTTGTTGGCATATTAAGGTAAATCAGTGTAAATAATACCCGCTAAATCAATGTTAGGAGCCCTGGTTGCATAATGGTTAAGCGTTTGGCTGCTAACCAAAAGGTAGGTAGTTTGAATCCACCAGCCACTCCTTGGAAACCATATGGTGCAGTTCTACTCTCTCCTATAGGGTCGCTATGAGTTGGAATCGACTCGACGGCAACAAGTTTAAATCAATGTTATTTCTATGATAATTCAATATGTATATAAAGGTTTATTTCAAAGGAAAATTAATAATTTTCCTTTCCTTTTGAAATGGTGTATCTTTGGCTATGTATATTTTCACCAAAAAAAAAAGTCCTCCAAGGTCAAGAAGGGAGAGTGCTCACAAGCTGTGGGGTTGTTAACCAATGTCATAAAACAATATGTGTACCGACTGTTTAATGAGAAACTATTTGTTCTGTAAACCTTCACTTAAATTACAATTAAAAAAAAAATTTAAAAAAAGTTTCAAAAACAATTTTTTTGCCTTCCCTTTGAGAAAAACAAGTTAGATAATTGGACAAGGAACTCTTCACTATTTATGATTCCTAGGTTTGAGGGGGAAAGAAAAAGAATTATTGACACCACATTTCCTTTGCTTCTGTTCTCCATTAGGCATGACCGTTGTTATATGGTAATCCAATGGTGTAGGTGCGTATAAACCACCTGATCTATGCATTTAGTGGCACTCTATCCTCTAGAGACTTGTGTGTGTCCTCCCAAAGACTGTGTTCAGTGAGTGGAAAATACCCAAATGCTGAGAGTTGACTTAATTTATCAGAGGGTATTACAGGCTCCTTTACATTGACTCTGTCCTAAGTTGATTTTGACATAAGTCGAATACCTCATTTTTTTTTAGTTTTCATTATTATTGCCATAACCTGCTATGTGGTAGTGGTTTGAACAGTAAATTATAATATAGAACATCTGGAAGTGAACATCTGAGAATGATAACATCAGCGAACTATGCAGTGCAACACTGTATGTAGTACATATTACTAACGATAAGGTGTATATATTAAAAAAAAGAGGATCATAAGTGCGGTTCATCGTCACTTGAATAGTCGTAAATTAGGGACTACCTGTAGTTAAACTAGTTACTTGAAAATACATATTTTAGAGGGAGTACAATTGAGAAATAGAAGTACTGGAATGTGTTATCTACATAAGACAGCTCAGTAACCTCTTTTCCTGGGGATATTTTTAAAGGTGTAAATATGTGTTTGTGAAATCTACGGAGGTAATTCTGAGGATGGTTTTGCCCTACTGGATGTAATCATTCAATGCCTCCGTTAAACCCGCCTTTACTTGCTAATTTATCCTGGATCTCCAGGTTTTGCTCTGTCCTTCAGTTTGTCCATATATTATGGCATGGCATCTTTATAATCAAAAGATGAGATAGATCCATTAAAGTAAAAGTTATATGCTATTAATGAGTGTCTAGCCAGCTGTAAAGGTATCATCAAATGTGGTTTATCTTGGTGAATGAAAGTTTGAATGGAAAATTAAGCTCCCTTACTGACTTTAGAAGTGCAGTGGATCATTTTGTTCTTTTATGTCACACTTCACTGGGCACGCTTCACAGAACAGCGAATCAGGCTTAAAACAAGCAGCCTTCACTTTAACAACAGAGATAATGCAGCAGAGGTGAATAGTAATTGTTAGCAGTCTTAAGTTTCTCTTGCAGTACTGTCTCCCAGGTGCCCTATAGATAATTTACAAAGTACATATGCTATTTTATAGATTGGAACTTGGGATCCAGCCAGTGGCCTGAACATGACAGAAAGTCAAAAGGGAAAGCCAGCCAACATCACGGATTCCTTATCCAATCGTTCTTTGATTGTTACCACCATTTTGGTAAGTATTTGTTTTCCCATTCTTTTTAGATAAATATAGTTATACATGGAAGCAGATAGAAAGGGATGTTATAATTGGAACACTAATAAACAGAATATAATGCATTTTACAGTTATTTAGCAATTACTGTATAACAGATGAGTCAATGTTAATTTAGTTACAGTTTTGTTAGTCTTCAGTGATATAAATTATATTAATGTGTGGGCTGCTTCTGTTGAATAATCATATGATTTCATATATTACTGGAAATCTTTACATTTCTACAACATTAGTTACTATGAAGTATTTTGAATGTTAAGTTTTGAAAAATACCTGGACATGCGGCTGTATTACGATAGTTACTTGAGGAGCTGAATGAACTTTGTTTCTGCTTTCATTTCCTACAAATATATTTCAGGGGTTATGACATTTATTTTTAATGCTTTTTTTCCCCATTATAATTATGTTTTAACCTTGTTTTCAATTTAATTGTTGTCATCATGCAGAACTACTTTCATTTTACTAATCTCCCTAATGAGATCAAATGACAAGTGCTTTTTTTAAGCCAGAAATATTTTCACCATCAACAGAATTAAATTAATACTGATAAGCTAGATATTTTTAACCTTCTTGTGATTATATATTTTAATTAGGTCTAACAGTAATGTTCACTTATGCCTACTATGCTATATGGAGAAAGAATTTTTAATTTTAGGATAAGCAGTGAGCTCTTATATTATCCGTACCTTACTTTCTACCTACAGAATAGGCTAGTGCAATACCAGTTCTTATGTCTCCCTAATAGTCAGTAGGAAAGTGAGATTAATGTCCAGAACAAATCATTACACATTTTAGCATTTATATAATTTCTAAATTTGATTTATGGTAGCTATTATGGATTGAATTGTATCTCCCCAAAATATGTGTTATAAATCCTAACCTCAGTGCCTGTGGTTATATCCCATTTGGGAATGGGTTGTCTTTGTTGTTAATGAGGCAGGATTAGTGCAGGGTGTATCTCGAGTTAATCTCTTTTGAGATAAAAAAGAGATTAAATGCAAACTAGCAAGCAGAGATGGGGGAAGAGAAATGCCAGGCTACATGAAGTTTGCCCAAGAGAAGTTCAGAAGAGACAAGGACCTTCCTCCAGAGCCAACAGAGAGAAAAAGCCTTCCCTAGAGTTGGCTCCATGAATTTGGACTTCTAGCCTCCTAAACTGTGAGAAAATAAATTTCTGTTTGTTAAAGCCACCCACTTGTGGTATTTCTGTTATAGCAGCACTAGGTAACGAAGACAGAATTTGATACTGAGAGTGGGGTTTGAAGTGAGGTGCTCCGAAGTGAGGTGCTCCTCTAACAGATACCTAAAATGCTGAAGCAGTTTTGGAATTGGGTAATAGGTAGAGATTGAAAGAGTTTTTAGGTGCCTAACAGTAAAAGCCTAGATTTCCTTAGAGACTGTTAGTAAAATTATGGACGTCAAAGACATTTCTGGTGAGGAAAGCTGTAGAGAATGTCTCTAACATCTTAGACAATACATATGGTGCCAGCAACAGAATGTTGCTGGAAATGTGGACATTAGATGTGTTTTTGGTGAGTTTTTAACAGAAAATGATGAACATGTGATTGGACAGTTGAGGAAGGGTGATGCTTTTTATGCTGTGACAAAGAGCTTGTCTGAATTATGTACAAATGTTTGATCAAAGGTAGAACTTGTAAGTGATGAATTTGTATTCATCAAGATCTTAGAGGGGCCATGTGGTTTCACCTTACTGCTCATTAAAATGTGAGAGGAAAAAGATGGACTTTTTGGAAAATTCTGTTGTACAAACTAAGTACGCACATCCTAAAATTTTCACCAAGACATGGCTACACAATCTTTTGCTAAAGAGATTAAGCCTGTAACTAATGGATCTAACCAACGACAACACCAGAAAACCTATCAGCTTGGACTGAAGGGGACAGAGAAAGAACGAAAGGAAAGAACAGTATCTGCTTCTTGGAATTCTATAGGCAGGAAGCAGGCCAAAGGAGCTACATGTGTTGTTCTCAAAGAAAAGAAAAGGACTATCTCTGGAGCAGCTCGGAGATCAGCAAAACTGTTGGAAAGACCACAGAAAGCAGGGCCTTCTCGGTTTCAAAGGGGGGGGGGGCCACAACCTCCTAGGTTTCAAAGAGTTTGATCCTCGACAACTCTTCCAGAGTGTGGGGCTGCCATTAAGGTGTCTCAGGGGGATGGGACCACTTCCCAAAGCTGAGAAGGTAGGGTCGCCACTCAGATGGATTAAGAGAATGAGGCCACTCAAAGCTGAGGGAGCAGAGTGGCCGTCCCAGTGGGCCTGGATGGTGGAGCTGAAGCCCAGGGCCGAGGGGCCTCCACCCAGAATACAGAAGGTATGGCCAACACCCAGAGTCTGGAGGGTGGGGCCATTGCCCAGATGGTCTCAAAGAACAGAGGATTATTTTCAAGCCTTGAGAGCTAATATAAATTGTTCTGCTGGGTTTTGGACTTGCTGGGTACCCATTATCCTTTCTTTCCCTGCAATTTCTCACATTTGTAATAGAAATGTCTACCTTGTGCCTGTTTTACCATTATACTTTGGAAATAGATAACTTGTAGTCCAGATATCACAGGTTCACAGCTGAAGAGGAATTTTGCCCCAGGGTGGAAGGCACCTAAAGTCTTACCCATATTTGATTTAAATGATTCAGAAGATGAGATTTTGGGCTTGTAGTTGATTTAAGACTTTTTGGGATGATGTGATGGGATGAATGTGTTTCACATTTGGCAAGGACATGAATTTTGGGGGACCAAAGTGTGGAATGTTATGGATTGAATTGTGTCCCCTAAAAATGTGTTGTAAATCTTAACCTCTTTGCCTGTGGTTATAATCTCATTTGAAAATGATTTGTCTTTGTTATGTTAATGAAGAAGGATTAGTGTAGAATGTATCTTGAGTCAGTCTCTTTTGAGATAAAAAAGAGATTAAATGCAAGCTAGCATGCAGAAATGAGGGAAGAGAGATGCCAAATAACTTGAAGATTGCCCAAGAGAAGAAGCTCAGAAGAGACAAGGACCTTCCTCCAGAGCCAACAGAGAAAGAAAGCCTTCCCCTAGAGCCAGTGCCCTGAATATGGACTTCTAGCCTCCTAAACTGTGAGAAAATAAATTTGTTTGCTAAAGCCACCCACTTGTGGCATTTCTATTACTGCACCACTAGATAACTAAGACAGTGGCAAATCAAGCCAGGATGAATTCATATTCTTGTGCTTTTAGTCACAACAAGAGATGTCAGATCTGTAGGCATATCCAAATAAAGTAGTTTCTGTTAAAGATTCTTGTCATGAAGCAATGCTGGGCAGTCATGATATGATGGTGATGGAAATTCATGAGATTTTCTAATCACTCTCTTGCTAAGAACCTCATTTGATAATTATTCCCTGTCTATCATATCCAAATTTCAAACTTCCCCCACCCTCCCCCACACACTTTCTCTTTCGTTCTTTTCAAAGGTAACTAGAATGCTAATACATCCTCTTTTTGGTTCATCTACCAGTATGTTCTGGATCTTATTTCCTCCTGCTAGGATTACTGCAATAACCATATAACTATCCAACTTGGCTACAGCCTTCCCCATTGTATTTCACTTTAAAGGTTTAATTCTGTTATTTTCCTGCTCCCCTGCTGAAAAGCTTTAGTGACTCACTATTTACCATTTAAAAAACTCTCAAATTCCCACTCTGGGGTTCAAGGCCTTCTACATACAGTCTTGCCTTGTCCCACCTTTTCCCAGTACTCTTTTCAAGAGCCCTATGTTTTAGTTGGAGCCCTGGTGGCACAGTGGTTAAGAGCTTGGCTGCTAATCAAAAGGTCAGCAGTTTAAATCCACTAGCTGCCCCTTGGAAATCCTATGAGTAGGAATTGACTTGATGGCAATGGGTTGGATTTTTTTTTTTTTTTTTTTTGGTGTTTCAATTGAACTGCGATAACCAGTTAACCTAATGCTGTGATTCTATTTGCCCTGTTCCCTTTGTCTGCAATATGGTTCTCCATATTTCTGAGATTATATAGTACTTATCAATACTATACCTAATTTAGAATAAATATTATATTATTCTTTATTTCATGTATGTAATTTTTCTCCAAACTTCACTGAACATTTCTTAGAGATATTGGCATCTAAATATGTCTCCTATTTTTGTACCGTCTGTTCCTCCACAATGTTCACAGAGAAAAGAATACTGTCTAGAGAACATCTGGAACACTCAGCAGTCTAACTCCCACACTCCTTTCCATGTTCTCCCGGATCCAACCAAACTCACTAATTTCATGGCTCCCAATTTTTACTTGGTTCTTCTTTACATTCTCCTGTGAAAATCCTATTCATCCTTCAAGATCCCTTATCAAAGGTCCACTCACTCAATGAAACTCTCTGATTTGTCCATTTAGTTGTGTATGGCTGTGGACATGGGGGTTGGGCATGTGCGTATACATTTTGTCCCATAGTACTGTCCTCTATTATGGCACTTACATGCTCTTTTTTTTTTTTTCCTTTATAAAACTGGTATGTCTCTATCGCTCCTTGACAAGAAGCTGTACAAAGCCAATGATCAAATCTTCCATTTTTTAAAATTTCTCAGTGTCAGTGGAAAGTACCTTGGGCATAGCAAGCACTTAATGAATATTTGTCAAATTAAATTGAATAAACGGTATTTAATTAAATGGAAAATTATAGTAAGAAACTGTCAAATGTCTATATTTAAATCTTTTTTCAAGTGTACAAGTTATTGCAATCATTTAGTGCAAACAAAGGAGGTAATTAAGACTACCCACATAATTTCTCAATCTTGCTTCATTACTTATGTTTTATTTTATAAGGAACATCAGATATTTTTCTAAATTATAAACAATGCTGCATCTTATCAATAAACAAGTGGTATTTAATGTTAGCTTCATATATAGTCAACCATAAAGCTTTTAGAAAAAGTGCTACTACACAAAACATACTCCATATTCCTTTT